ATTATATGGAATTGAACGAAAATGAAAATTTGCTTGATAATTCAACTACGCTTGTTGGAGAACAATAAAAACACTACACTCAACAAGCCACCAATAAAACTCAACTGCCTAACCTATAACCAAAGTCTCCTTTTAATTTGTTTTTTAAAAAAAGCGCTTGACAAACTTGCCCCGCACGCCGAAGTTGCCCCGATCTCCCCTATTTACTTCCTGAAATCCTTGATTCGCAAATAACTACTCTGATGATTGTGTCATTACTTGTATTAATATGGAAAAGAGTATTAAAAAAAATGTAGATAAATTTACTGTCTCCCAAACTAAATATTAATGAAAACTATAACTCAGAATACAAATAATTTTTAATGTAATTTATTAAATTACTGTACTATAAAAGATAGTACGTTACTATTGGGACATGCCTCGTAATATCTAAGAAATTCATAGTTTCTCCTTGTTAATAGTAAAATATCAGTAATATTTCTTCCAAAAATAAACAATATGAAAATAACTAAGGCAGGAAATATAGACTATACCCATTGATCTTACATCAAATTCAGCAGCAAAATAGTTCAACGAAAGCATAAATTGGCGTAGAATTTCGAATTATTAGCATCTGGAATTTATAATAATTATAATTTACTGCATTTAACGAATTTTTCTTATAAAAATTATCAACTTAATATTGGCAAAATAAATGATTTTCATAGTTTAAGTTATATTAATTAATTTATTCGTGATTAATGAATGTGTTATTAAAAATTAATTGTTAAAAATTAAGAATAAAATAATAATTAAAAGCCCTATCATATTTTACTTCCTTGCAATAGAAAAGTGACGTCGTTATCGTTTCCACACTTATAACATGTGATGATATTAATATAATGTAAATATATAAGCTACATCAATTAAATATTTAAAAGAATTAAAAGTAACTTATAAGCAAATGTTAAAAATATATCGAATTTATAAATATATTTTATTAAATACAGTAAATAATATTTTTTATAATTTTTTG